ATAGTTACCTTTACATACAGGTCCCTACCCTAGGATTTCTTTCCTATCAGATTGATGTTTTTAATACAGGTTTTAAAGAATTACTAAAGATTTTACCAAACTTTAGAAATATTAATGGATTTTGGATGTTACTAGAAGAATATAACTCATGTTCAAAGAGGAAAAGGGTCACACTAACAACCTTTGTGGTACTAATCTGTTAACAAATTGTTAACCTGCAGTAAAGAATACTTTCTCCTTCCGGACAAATTTTAATAGATAGCCTTTTGGATACCTAAGTCCATAGTCCATCCAAACAAAACCTCTCATTTTATGCAAGCGATGAACTATATCTTGCCATAGTGATAGCAAATTAATTTGATCAGCCTGGGAACATCTTACCATTCTCCTCTTGGAATGATACAATAGAAATTACTCTGTAGAGTATTTCAAAAATATGAAAATTGGCTGCTCAAACTGGGAGAATGTATTCCTTGCTATACAGTTTTGCTGGAAGGATTAATGTATTAAACTAGCAATGTCAATTATATTTTATAATGCAAAAAACTTGCAACTTAATATGAAACATTTCCTCCTGTAATAATTTGTAAGTTTTATCTAAGGTTGAATTTCTCAGTAATCAACCATGTCTTCCTAATTTCTCGGTTAAATCCCTTGAATATTTTTTCAAGCCTTCTTAACTCAGCCCATATATACTCTTTAGTTTATTCAGTTTCTGCTGAGGTCAGACTTTAGCAGTCTATTTCAATGGGAGCTGTCAAAAGCCCTGGATTGCTTTCCATGCTTTGAAGTCCATAGTGTTCTTTAGAATACCTTGTCTGTCCTAGGTGTAGGATAAAATTTGCCCAGAATTGCTGTGCTAGACCTTCAGTCTTCACAAAATCCTAATGCTCTTCGCTGCAACGAAAAAGTCACTAGTGTGTTATCATCTTTGTTCCATTGTGCAAAAGATCTCCTTTCAAAATCTGCATGATGGGACTGTATATACTCCTGCTGTTGGTAATTGTCCTCTATTATCATGAGCAGTCACTGTGGTGGCTTTTGTGGTAGGTATTGCTATTGTGGTGGAGAGGGAACTCCTTTTCTAAGTCTCAGCCACTGGATACAGGCTCATAGCAGAATCATGCAGATTTTCTTCAAACCCTGACTAGTTCAACTGCCGTCGAACTTGAAGTTGACTCTATATGTGACAGGCATTAACCCTTAAGAAGATCCCTGTTTTTCTTAGTCACATTGTTGCTGTTTACGGCAGGAATCCTGACAGTTCCTTGTTTGAAATTTGAAGGATGTTCCCTTTAGTGACTAACACACTTCTACTCTCATTTTCAGATGTCTGGACTTGGCACCTCTCTTTGCCAGCATTATTCATAGGTTTCTAAGACATTGGCCTGACCTGCTTCATTTGTATCTGCAATTGTTTCTTAGGCTCCCAAGTTGCTCAGAGCGGTTTTTGTCTTTTTATCATGCTTTTAAGCAGCTCTTCCAGGTCCAGGTCATTCCTTTTTTTTCACCTCTTTTTATTGGCAAGTATTTTTCTCTGCATGCTCTCCATGGAAACTGACCGTGTGACAGGGAGGTGCACTTTGATTTATCAGTAGATGGGGTCGAGGGCCATCCTTCTGTGTCCCTGTGGGGAGGGCTTTTTTTTAATAGATCTGATCTCCGTCTATGTTCATGGCTCGGAATTTCACAAGCACTTGAAAGTTTATTCTGTGCCACCCACTTGTATCCCTGAGAGACATAAATCTGGGCTGGGAATGCTGAGTTCAGTAAAGCAGAAACATAGGACTCAAAGCTTTTGCTTCCTAATGCCAAAGAGTCAGCAACTGACAATTGATAGCACGGTCTGAGCAGCTTTAAAGAAAACAGGGGATGACAACCATTGTAGAGTTAGTGGAAAATGGCTTCTCCCTTGCTTGCTTTGGAAAAGTAGTTTCTCTTGCAGCTGAGTCACTGGGACTCTGAACGGCAAAGGCTGACGCTGGCAAAAAAGGTACCTGAAATGTCTGGTTTCTGTTCTCACTGCTGTATGTTTGATGGTCAAAAACGGCTATAAAACATTTATCACATATTCCAAAATAGGTTCGTGGATTAATGATTGTGTTTACACTGTGATTGTAAGATCCCCGAAGTACACAAAAAACAAACCCAGAAAGCATAATTTTCTTTCATTATACCAACCTATTCACACAATTAAATTAGTACCCTAATGGATAAACAAACATGCTTGTGTTGCAAAGGACTCCAGGACCCGCCTCTCACACAGATAATTTAATCTTAACTGATTCCTTATCTGTAACAACACATTGATAAGGTGCTGGTTTCTGCCATCCTCACAGTTAAATATAGGGTTTCTGTTTCAACCACTAGCAGGCTCTATCAGTCCTGAGCAAGTATATTAAATCCCTTTAAATGGTATCTCTATTTCTTTTCCTAATAAACTGTACAGAATCATGGCTGACTGTGTCTATGGAATAGAGTTTCTGAACAGAAATATAGTGTTGTCTCATTCATTGTAATTATATCCAGACAGTGATCAGTAGAGCAAGTAAGCCTTCGTTGCATAAAGCAGTCCACGTGCCTGTTCATCTGGTAATGCTTTTGAGTTGTCTCAGAATGTTTTGTCTCACTCTGGATGAATTAAAAAACTTTCTATTTTTCTTGTGCTTTACTAATACTTTCAAAGAAGTAAAAAAGTTTAAAAATTGGGTAGACCAGTCTGCTTTGCATGGTCATGTTCAGAACAGGTAGAATTCAGCCCTTTGTAAGACAAGCCTCTGTCACTGCCATCAAACTTTTGGATATTCTCTTTGTCTTGTATCAGTGGGAATTTTAAGTGCAAAAGGTCTTTTGGATGTTATCTTAATATTTTCAGGTTTTGGCTCTGTATTTAAATAAAGCAGTCAATATAAAAATTGTGTGGAATGGATGATAGCTGAGTGCTCTTTCCATTCCTGAACATATAACTTTGAATGTTAACATGTTGAGAGCATGTTCATGCATTTTTATTTTTCGCTAGTCTGGACTTTCAAGACTGTGATGAGTAGTCGTATAGAACCGTGTTATACCTGCCCCTGAAAATGTAGAGATGGGTCTCTGAGCCTGCAGATGCCTGTAACCTGACAAGAGAAAATATGAGTTCATAATACAGGAAAGAATATTTAAAAGAGCAAAGAATTAAATAGGTGTCTGTCAGGTATCTTGATATTTATTTGTCTTTGTTACATTAAGGATAAAACATCAGTGTGACAAAGACAAATCATATAATGATTGAAAGATGGATTAGAATTTGAACTAAGCATCTTCTAGTGCTTTAGTATAGAAGCAACATTTAATATAATCCATTTCAGAGCCAGACCTTGGGTTTCCTACATACACCTCTGATAAAGCTTGTTAAGGACAGTACTGATGTCAGGCTTTCCTCATTGTCTTCAGCTGCATTTGCTGCATGGGGGAGCAGTACTTAAAATAAAAGGAGCCAGAGGGTTCCTAGCAGTGTGGAAAGGGAACAGTAATCTGCTTTCTGTGTTGGAAGAGAAGATGCACCCTGACTTCCATGTTAATACTGAACAGCACTAAGAGGCTTTGTAGCTTCCCATTTACCCTTCCCCAAACAGATATATCAGTACTACTCACTGTAACTTTTCCAATTGATTTTGTGTATATACATGAATATTTTATCAGTAGTGCCTGCTTTTAATCTAGATCATGTTCTTAAATACTGCCTGCATTGTTTTATTGTTAATGTGCTTCTATTGGTATTATATCTATTATATCAGTGTTATGCAGTATTAACAGACACATTATGCACATTACCTCTATACACATTAACATGGCACAAACAAGTATGCTAAAGTATATATATGTAAAATATGCCGTACAAAATCATAAAAAGGTATCCAAATCTACAACTTTGTATGCTGTTCCTGTCAAAACCCTTATTTCTTAATAAGCAGTATGTGTTTTCACAGTAGTTTTTCTTTTGCCTGACTGATTCCTACAGGATGCTGCTTCCCGACAGGCTAATTTCCCAAGCCGTACCCTGTGCTGAGGAGGGGCTGGTCAGTGTTTAGGAATTACTGCCACAAACAGGAAGCGTTTCATGCTTTCTATTCACAGTTACTTGAGGAGGGAAAGGACATGGGGCCCAGGGCAAGAGCTACTTTGTAATGGCAAAAGAAAGCTGACATGGCTTTTGGTTATACCAGTTCATTGTGCTCCCTGTGGAAAGCAGGCAGCAGTTAAGTACATGGGACATTCAGCTGGAATAGACTGCCTGCTCAATGACAGAATGAATAAATGATACAGTTTCACTAAAAGCAAAGTCCTAACAAAGAAATGCAGTATCAAATAGATAATTGATAATGTCTCATTCTAACAGAAAAAAAAAAAGCATGTTTATAGGGAAAAATACTGCTTGGGGTGAAAAGGTAAAATTGCTGTATTTCACAATCTCTGAGTTACAGCAATGCTACATTATTTATGAGACAGCACCTCGAAAAGATGTACTGAACTACTTTAACCAAGAGTGTTCAGCCATGATGGACCATGCAAAGGTAAATACACGAAACTCTGCTATTCCCAGATCCTGTAACAGTTACTCTGTTAAAGTCACTTAAAACAGAAAGGCAGTTTAACAATAGATTGCTGACTATTGAAAATGCCTCTTCTCAATTGCTATATAAACCGAGGAATTACTTGAATCAGATTTCTAGCCACATTTTCAAGAAGGTGTCAAAGCTTGCTGCCTTTCTGCCAAATTACAGAAAGCTGTTACTTTTAGATAACTTCCTGTAATTTACCAGCAGGATCTGCTCAGCGCCTGCTGCAGTCAATGTTCTTTTCCTTTGCCTTTCTTTGTGGACAATGAAGCGTCTCTCTTTCATGAGAAATGTTGAGTCTGACATCAGCATGCAGTGATTGAGTTCTGAGTGCTAAAATTGTAATATCTTTCTTTGCTTTTTTCCTTGACTCTTTTACTTTTTCTTTTTTTTGAGAAGATGGGAAATTCTTACGCTGGTCAGCTCAAGACAACACGGTTTGAAGAAGTGCTGCATAATTCTATTGAGGCCTCTCTCCGCTCAAACAACTTAGTTCCCAGACCAATCTTTTCTCAGTTGTATTTGGAAGCTGAACAGCAACTGTCATCACTGGAAGGTAGGAAATAATGGAATTTCTGTTTCTGCTCAAAGGCAATTCTGCTGTTTGCTCTCCAAAGGCTCAGCACACACATTTCAAATCACAATACTTAAAGACATGTTTTTACTTAGATTTTTATGATTTACATATATATGTGTGTGTGTGTATATATATAAAATTGGATTAAGAAAACAAGCTTTATTTGTCTTTTATTTTGACAAAATTAAGCCACTTGCTTACTCAGATATATCTATACACATAAATTGAAGTACTAAGAACTGTTCCATTAAATGTGTGGAGAAGTCTTTGGAGATTTGGAACATAAATCTGTTATCCTATACTGCTGAAAGTTATACAGTAAATGGTGGTAAATAGATGATTTGTAAAACAGATATGCTAAGACTTTATTTTCAATGTGCATAAATACAGCAAAAATATTTTTTAACTTTTAAGACAGTTTATGATTAGTTTGGGCATAATATCTGTAGTTATTCTGTGGTTGCAAAGTTAAAATTTTAGGATCTGTTCTCCCAGAAACCCTGAGCAAGTTGTATTTAACACATAGGATTTCTCACTGAATTTGTGCATGTGTTTAGAGAATCCTGTTTTCTGAGTTTCATCTGCTTGGTTTTGTGTCTTTTTTTTCTTGGAAGTAGTATAGTTGAAATGAACTGTATAGATCTGATATGCAAACTCATGATACAATTTGGTGTTTAGTGTCCTGTTATATGTAGTGGTCTCATGGTTTCCAGTGAGTTTACTGGTGTGTGCATAACATTGGCATGTTGGCTCCAGGTTATCTTTAATAGTGTTATTACTTTGTCATTTCTGTCACAAGGGTGGTGTTCCATGTCTTTTGTCCCTGTCTACTTCCCCGTCATACTTTGCTACAGATGTAGTGATAAATGCATAATGGTTAACAATCCACAGTAACACACACACAAAAAAAAAAACAGGCCAAGAAGTCATAATAGATAAAAGTATTTTGCACAGATTAAACTCTTTGCTATTACCTCGTGGTAGCAACTGAGAAGACATTTATTGAAAAAAAAAGATCTGCTCACTTTCATTAGTAATTTCCTCTTTTTTTCTATATTTTTGGGGGTTTGTTGCTAGTATAGGATATAATAATGAAAATGCATTAATTATTTAAATATATATATATG